GGGGGTTGCTCACTTCCTTCGTCGTTGTTGATGCGGCGATGTACGTCGTGGGCCCTCTGCCGGGCCCCTCCGCCGTCACCGCGGCCTTGCTGCTCCTACTCGAGAGTGTCTCGAAGTTGCTCCAGGTCCAGGTGTCGGATATCCCCAGGGGCGATGTTCACGTTCCGCGCCGCCCGGAACTCGACGAGCGGGGGTGTGGCGTCGCCCGCCCCTTGGCGGAGTGGGGACCGGTTGCCTGCCCTCTCACCCTCGTCACTTGCCCCTGGCATTCCGAGCCCGATGTGGAAACACTCTTGAATGGGATCGTAAGTGCTTTCGTCATCAGAGTCGGAGTGGCCGAAGCAGTAGTCGCTTGTGGCCAAGAAGCGGCGCATAGCCTCGGGGTCACGAAGCCCGGAGAAGTCCGCTCCGACCCATGCCTCGTCCTCCTCCGAGGATTCAGTGTGGGTGTGGGTCGAGATTGTGGTGGAGAACTCGAGGGCGAATCGTTGGTGGTGTCCCGAGGGCTCCGCGTGCGCGGAGGCATAAGCAAAAGCATAGGCGGCGGCGATGTTTTTCAGCCCAAAGAGGTATGGGGATGGTGCCACCGCTGGGCTCCGCTCCCTGAGTTGATTCCTTAGGAAGCGGCGGGGCAGAGCTTGACGACGGGACGTCGCTGCACGCTACTGGCGTCTTTCCCCTGCCCAGGCTTAGGCTAGACAGGTCCCCAACCAGGGATTCTGTACCAACAGCCAGGCAAGGGATGTCGACGGAGTGTGGCGCGTAGCCCTGAGTTCGCGTGGCGTCGGAGTAGTCCCGCTCGCGTCGTGCCTGGCGAGCATGACGAGAGCGGCGGCTTGGGCACCACTGCGTCCGGGCTGCCGATGCTCGACGTCATCGCCGTCCGGTGGGGCTCTGGGTGTGAGGAGTACCATATCGTACTCACATTCTAGAGCCATGAACTCTAGGCTCCCAAACCTGACCACCGTGCCGAGACGTAGTGGACGTATGGGGTCAGCCATCCGAAACTTGTTGGGACGATCATGCTAACACGCAGAGGCCCCTACCTGGCGCGCCAACTGTCGGTGTTTCGGACCGGGGGGTCCTTAACCAACCAGTAAATGTGAACTGCGTGCCCCTAATCCTGGATGGTGATGCAAAGAGACACAAGGTTTATACTGGTTCAGGCAATCGGTGCCCTACGTCCAGTCTAGGAGATCGATCTTGTATTCTTTGCACCGAAGTGCTTGTAGTAGGGGGTTACAAGCTGGGTGAGAGAGGGAGCTAGTCCCAAGTCTCTCACGTGGAGTGGTGCGGGCTGCTTGAGTCGTTGCTCTCGCAGGCGTGGGAGCGTCGTGCGTGATTGAGTGAGTGTGTTTTTGCGTGAGGGCGGCGTGGTCTCGGTCCATAGAAAGCGCCCCCAGCTACTTCCTTTTATAGTCACAAGGAGGGAGCCAGGAGTACATGAGAGAGCTACACGTGGAGCCTTAGCGAGGAAGGAAGATCGATCTTGTGGCCTATTCTCAGTGAAAGCATAGTGTCGGGAATGGCAATTGGTACTTGATCACTGGTGCGTCATGCCGGCCATGCCTGAGGCTGTTGAAGTCGTAGGGGTCCTCATTGACGTTTAGTCAGCATGGCCTCCTCTGTAGGTGACATGCCGTGCCTTGTGAATTTTTGACTTAGTGGTTCGCCGAGGCCTGGCAGGTGTTTGTGGCCGGCCGCGCCGAGGCCTGATTTGCCGAGGCCTGGGAGGTGACCTGAGTACGATGCGGCGGTCTCGGTGGTCAGCGTCGTACCCGGTTTAGGTGGAAAAGTGCAGGGCGTGTGTCCGTAAAGCACGGTAGTCCCTACACTGTTAGTGGGGAATGGTAAAAAAGGAGATTTGACCGCCGTCCCATCGCCCCTGTTGCTATGCCCTGCCAATCGTGGCTGTCGTAGGCGCAACCAGGGGTACTTACACGGATGGGACGGCCCGCCAGAGGGGCAGTTGAGGCGGAGACGACGAGGATGCGGGACGAGCCCGGCCTCGGCCAAGGCGGAGAAGGAATAGTACGTCTAAGACCCTGCCGGGGGGTCTCGGACGAGGCGAGAAAACAGCGGTTGGGCTCTCCTGCGGTTTTCGAGACTACTGAGGACATGGACTTGACCTTCCATGTTGCTTTGTCCTTGCACGGGGTTAGGTAGCATGATGATGAACCTGCGATGGCGAGATAACCCCTGCTGCGCCCGGTCCCCGTCCCGTCGTTCGCTCGCCCTGATGCACTGAAAAGCGGTGACGTTTGTGGGAGTAGTTGGGCGCATTAATCTGGACGTGACGTTTTGTCAGAGGAGTTTTGTCGGGGACGGTGGTTCGAGTATGTTTGCCGAGCCCAGCCTCGAGCGAATCAGAGAATTGGCATCCCATCCGAGACCTTTCGGGGCGAGGCCTCGGCGAGAGGGCCTCGATGGGGCGCTTTTGGCCTTTCATATGAGGCCTCGGCGCAAGGCCTCGAGCGAATCGGAGAATTCCGCAGAGACTTGGCGGTAGTCTTTTGGCTTTGATTTTTGCAAGGTTTAAGCAACATTTTTTGTTCTTGCTTAGGGTACCCCTTCTTGTGGTATCCGACAGTAGTCCTCCTCTAGTGACAACCAGACTTAAGTTGGTGAAACCACTCTTGACCTTTGGCGTTCACTCAAGGCCGCCTCAATGGAGACGAAGGTCTAAGTGGAGGATTTGAGCTTCAAGGAACAAATCATCGCGTCCTTGATTTGGTTTGCCACACATTGGCATTTCCATCATCTTTTTGTGCTTCCGCTTGTGTCCACTTGATTGTACCTGTTTGTGCAGGGGCTTTGTGAACCTGTCAAGGAACACCTAAATAAGTACCACACCAAGTTTGGTTCATGATAGAAGTGTGGGGGAGTTATAACATTTGTGCAAGTTTTATGCGAAACAACCATGCGTGTTTAGTAGATATTTTTTTTGAACTTTAGTAGATATTTAATACATTGAAAACTAAAGGTGTGTTTGGTTGGGATCCTGAGCGATGTAGCTATGGCCAGGCATCCATCTCAACCTCAGACGTGAAAAATTCATTGCTTGGGAGTTGGGAGTGATGCCTGGACCAGGCAGCTCCAGCCAGTCCTCAACCAAACAAGCCCTACGCATCGGAGGCTGCAATGGAAAAACCAATACTTGAATGTTCTTTCTGCTATCCAAGCATTGGTTTTACAACATACTGCGGCTGCTTTAAGTCCTTGGACTCCTAAGGTGCCCATATATAGGTCCTAAAACTTGTCAAATGAACAACTAGAGACGAAAATCTTTTTAATCAATGAGTAATCATAATGTAGTAGATACTCCAGAGTGGAGCCAGAGACGTCTCCATGCTCTTCATCATCATTGCCGCTATTGTGTTCCATACGTGTCAGACACCATGTTGGAAGCCACATAGGCAAGTTTATCCTAATCAGGGAGATTTGTATCTTCAGCACACCAAACAAGTCTAAAGATGTATTTTGAGTGTCCAGACCTAGTCACCATGAGACAATTTTAATAGGGGGAATTCCCCGTGTGCCATTAAAAAAGATCGCAATGCTCTGTGTGTCTCTGGAAAAGTTCAGCAGTCTTCAACGCCACTACTCCAACTTTTTCGTGTCCTCCATGCCACTTTCGTCAGTTTAGGCTCTAACGCCGTCAAACTGCAGGTGTGAAAAGACGAAAATACCCTTAAGTCTAAATATGTTATTAATTTTTTTTAGCATCTTAACGACTTCAAATGAAAAACTCAAAACTAGAAAGTTGTAGATCTCGTCGAGATCTATAATTTTTATATAAAAATTATTTTCATTTAATTCCGCAAAAAAATGATTTGATATGATTAATATATCTTAGAAAAATTATATTTTTTTGCGGAATTAAATGAAAATAATTTTTATATGAAAATTATAGATCTTGACGAGATCTACAACTTTCTAGTTTTGAGTTTTTTCATTTGAAGTCGTTAAGATTCTCAAAAAAATTAATAACATATTTAGACTTAAGGGTATTTTCGTCTTTTCACACCTGCAGTTTGACGACGTTAGAGCCCAAACTGACGAAAGTAGCAAGGAGGACACGAAAAAGTTGGAGTAGTGGCGCTAAAGACCGCTGAACTTTTCCAGGGGCACACAGGGCATTGCGATCTTTTTTAATGGGACACAGGGAATTGTCTCATTTTAATAACAGCACACTTTGTTCTCCCAAAATATAACTAACTATTCATAAACCTAGAAATGTTGGCTTTTCCAAATCAAATATGACTTGCTGAGATTCATATAAAGCAATGTAGTACCATAAGTTCAAATAAAATCATAAACCTACAACATCGTATCAATATTATTTCTGACATTCCACGTCACAAACTAGTTGCCAACTACATCAACATCACGTTCTGTTTGTAAGGCTAAAATGTTACAACAAGAGAACTGCAGCTGGAAAACCGTCAAGGAATCCAATTGACAAAGTTGCGTACAGGGGATCCAATTGATTTAGGAACCGTTCGTTTACTAGGGAATGGAGGCCTGGAACAGTTCCAGATGGAATGGCAAGTCTATTTATAGTAGCAATGATCAGCTGGATTATTTCCAGCCCTCAATCCCCGCTAATCGAACGAGGCCTTAGGGATCTCGATGGTGAAATTGACACCATTTCAGTCCAACTGACAAATAAAAGTGGAGCTTCAGTTTGACACAGGACCAGCAATAAACTTTGTATACCAAATTTCAAAAATTTGTTTGTCAGACCAATGCTTTCCCGTCATCAGAATTTCAGAACCAAACAAGGTGGCGTCAGTGTTGTTACTGTGCCCACCGTTATTCATCACATTATTACACTTAGAAAACATTTGTCTGATTGATCTCACGGGAAATAATACATCCACAACATCTTGTTAAGGCAAGGCTGCCATTGCAATAAGAAACTGCATTCTCCTGATGGCAGTTGCACCCATTCATCATTCCAAGAAGACATTTTTTTTCCTTCATGGCAAATATAATTCTCACGTCGTATATTCAGCATTTATTTCAACATATTTGTAGCTCAGATCACAGCCCCATGCCTTTCCATTTCCTCCTCCACTCCCTGTCAATAACACAATTGACACAATTCATAATAACAAGATAGCAATTTCATAAGGTAGCTTTTTTTAGTAAGAATTTGGTAAGGTAGTTGAGATGGAGAACCAAATAGCCTGGTACAAAATGATGGGTAACAAATGACATCAGCTTTCCAAACAAAAATCCAAGTGTTTGCTGCAAGCATTTGTTGAACTCATAGGATGCCAGTTTAGTCTACCTGGCCACTGTGATAACATAGGATCAGCCAAACTACCGATGAACAAGAGAAATGCCACCGCAAATCAAATGCAGGAACAACAAATCTATGCTGGACGCAAAGGGTCCCACTGACAAACCAGATGTTTTGAACAGTTGCAAAGATAAATAAACACCACAATAATTGATAATCTTCACTCGGAAATAAAGAAGCTGAAAGCTTACCAACTGATATATCAATGTTCACTGTACCATGGGCATCTCCAGCATCTTTGAGATACCTGCTAGCTGCGGATCTAAAGAAAGAGAATAAGCATTTAGATCCTAACAGAAGAGCTAAAGAAATCCTAGTCTATTTACAATGATCAAAACGACGAAACATGGATTGACTATGCAATAAAAACTTTCTCTAACCTGTCAAAGGGGAGTGGTTGGCCATTTTTCATTAGTGGAATAACTCCCAGAGAAATATCAAGTCGATTTGCGTCAAATTGAATGCCTGAATAGCCAACTGAGCAAGCAATTCGTCCCCAATTTGGGTCTCTTCCAAACACAGCGGCCTGTCACAAATAATATAATTATTCTGGCCTTCTGGGGGATGAAAGAAAAGAAGACTGCTTTGGCTGATATACTACTGAATTGCAGAAGTTGGTACATAAACTATTAACATACTTTAACCAGAGAAGAAGATGCTACTGAACGAGCAATTTTAGCAGCTTCTGCCTCACTGTTGGCGCCACTTACAGTAACCTGCACAGGAGAAGGCACATTAAAACATTATGTCATATTCCTGAAAATCTAGAAAGGAGATATATAGTACGCGCTAAAGTTTTAACTTTTCAGATAAGCCCAGTTTTAACTTTCCAGATAAGCCAAATTGTTTGTTAAAACCTAGAAGACCAATTATCAAGTCCAAAATAAATAGCATCAAAGGATTATGTCACTTAACCTCAATTAGGCATGTTGCACCCTCACCATCCCATGCTATGGATTTCGCAAGACCTTGCATTACCTACATGGAAGGAATAAGTCAGCATAGGAACTTAACAGGTAAACAATATCTGCTTAGGGGGCAAAAACTAAGGTGCAGAAATGTGTTACTGAGGACAATATAAAGCTCATTTTGGTCTATCACATGTAACCTAGAGCGAAAAATAACTTAATAATGACTGTGCCGGCATTAAAGTACATCTGAACATAAGCGCTTGCTGACATACATGAAAATATTAAGGAGCATGGAGTAATACTTACTGCATCTAGGCAAGCTTGGAACTGTTGAGCCTCAGTGCTATCAAGACTTTGAATTCCAGATAAACCAGACAACCCACTTGCCATAGCAATAACACAGTCATTGGTACTAGTATCACCATCCACCTTCAGAATTATTGCACAAAACAATTATTGGTTTGTACGCCTACTATATGAAGAAGATACAATCCATAACAGTACTACAAAATAATGGACCTAGGTCAAGATCCTGTCAGTTAGATTGCCACATTTGCAAGAAAATTAAATCTCGTTTCAAGGAAAAAGGTACTTCATTATCTAATATGCACACTACCTATTGCAATATTAATTCTTTAAAGTAGCAGTGTATAACTCAGAGTAGTATTTGTTAGGTCGAAGATATGAACAGCATACTCCAAATATATTGAGTATGTTCACGAACAAAATTGTGGTGCCCCCCACCCCTAGTAACCATCTGCGATTTATGTGCATGTGCCATGCTGTTTGCTTTTATATAAATAATTGACGATGCCAAAATTTCCTACCCATGTTGTGTGATTGCTTACACGTGATCAATACAATATACAAGAGCGGAGACTCACTGTAATTTGGTTGAAACTTCTACTCACTGATGTCCGGACCATTTCTCTCCAGACATCACTGCTGACTTGAGCATCTGTGGTTAAAACCTGTAATAGAAAAAATGGCCATCAATCTTTGCTACATGCCTCAGTAGAGGGAGGGAGAAACAGAGGGTGGGAACATACACCGAGCATTGTTGCCATATTTGGGTGAATCATTCCAGAACCTTTAGCCATTCCACCTATTCTGATAGCCACTCCTCCAATCTAGTTTTGAACAAGAATTGATGACAATAAAATCCAAGGGGAGAACACCACGAGTAAACCAAGAGACTCAAACCTCAGTCTGGACAGCAATGCTCTTGCTAACAAGGTCTGTAGTTGTAATGGCCACAGCAGCAGAATTCGCACTATTGAAGAAGGTATATTAGGTGACCAACAATAAGTACCATTAAAATTATATCAATGATTATCATGATGATTTTACAATTTGAAGGCTTGAGATATAATGCTACTCATGATACTGAATATTATTACCCCTGAACTGAAGAAGACAGCGAGCCCACAAGTCTAGGTAGCGAATTTAAAAGTGCCTCCTACAATGCCAAAGCCCAGATATCAGATAGGCACTTTACTATATCATACTAGCATCAGTGGGCTAATGTGAAACAAATAGCCCAGTCATATTGGGCGTATCATAGTGTACCTTCTTTATCCTTTGACCAATGACACCAGTAGACTGAATCAGTATGTTATCTGTGCTCACATTGAGAAGCTGCAGCAGTGGTTAGGAGTTAGCATAGCAGTAAAATGACTTTACTTGCGAACAAGCACCTAGGGCCTGTTTGGTTGTCTGGATATAGCCTGGCCTAGCTCCTGGGATGCATGCTCAAGCCATTTAGTTGCCTGCAATCCTTCCCGGGCCTGGCCCGGAGCGTGCAGCCGGCGCCCCGCAGCCTGGCTCGTGGGAATCCGTTTCCAGGCGGCCTGGCTCGCATGGGCAGCGTGAGCGTGTGCGTGACGATGCAGGTGCGAGCGCAGGTCAAGGCAACCAAACAGCTGCTCTATGCATCCTGGCGCTGCAGATCAAGGCAACCAAACAACAATGGCCTGCTGCCTGCATGGCCACAACCTAGCCAGAGGAGGCCTGGCTGGCTAGATGCGATGCAGGCTACCTGAGAAGGAAACCATACAGGCCCCTAAAGGGCAGGTCCCTACCTTGGCAACAGCATCTGCACTATCCACTGCATCCTGATAGCCAAGATCACCCTGATAGCCAATCATTTGAGACAATAGCTCAATATCAGTCACTGAGTTCTGATATACAGTTCATAACTGCTAGTCTGCTACTGACGAGTATGACAGATATGGCACTTATAAACACTTACAGTTGCAGCATTTGCTTGTCCAGCATTAATTAACACAGCACGACCCTATGCAACAAAGTGTTACAAAAGGACAAAAAATTAACAAGTGATTAGCCCAAATTGATCAGCAAAGTCCTTCAGTTTGAAGGCAGATGAGAGGCAGGATTAGCTTACTATTTTCGATGTGCTAAGGACATGCTTGCAATACAAAACAGGTGCAGCGGCAACAACGTTTGTTGTAAATGTTCCTGAAAGGAGTTCAGCATGAGAACTGAGCCTAACTAATATATTACCAATCGTATAAAGCATAGCAAGTAAATTCAGAAGACAATACGCCCTGCAACATTAGCAACAATAGCATATCTAGCTGTTCAGTTCATCCAAATCCAAATGAGCATAGACTAGACACCTAGCGTGCCAAAGTGGCATTCAGAGATGACAATAACATCTGGTTACCTGAGGCATGCCACATGCCAGTGACCATTGAAGCTCATAAGAGTCACTCATACCTGCTACAGTTGCGTCGACGTCGCAGGCGACCAGTGCCAAGTCAGGCTTCTCGCCCTTGGCACGCAACCCACCATAGATGCCCGCCGCCTTGAACCCCTTCGCGGCAGTAACGCCGCCTTCTACCTGCATTTCACACCAACAAGCAGAGTCTTAAGCCCAACCAAAGCCCTCCCATCGATACCCGCGCCTAGGAGCCTTGCTATTTCGCCAGTCACCTGCTTCCAAGGGCCCTCGGGAAGGAGGATCGGTGCTGCGGAGATGAACCCCCCGGCGGACGCGACGGAGCAGACGACGACCCTGCTCGGAGCTGCCCGGGAGTTCATCCTGAAGGAGCGAGGCTGAAGCGGGGCGCGGGAGTGGAGGAGCAGGAGGGACGGGGGCGGCATCGCTGCTGCTGCAGGCGGCTGGTCGTGGCGCGCGGGGGCAGGAGGGTGGGAGCGTGGCGGGAGGCGGGCCGGCGACTTGGGCGAGGCCGGCCGGCGGGTTGGTGCGTGTGTAGTTGGCGGCGGCGGCGGCCTGGCGGGACAGGTGGGTCTTCGGCCTCAGGAGCCCGGTCAAAAGAGCGCTTGCTATCTGAAAGCCCCCTGGACCCTAAACCGGTTACCGGCCCACCTGCTACGCTCGCAGTGGAGGTAGCAAATCCAATATAATCGCGTCCACCTCCCTTGCTAACTTCCTGAACGTGGAAGTCTCTCTATTAGTAGACCCTCCTATATTTTATATAATAGAGATAATTAGGAATCCTAATTCTAATAGATCTCCAATCATAAATAACTTGAATAGAACTCTAGTCTATATCTATACCTTTTATATTTGTGTCCTACGTATATTGTATGTGATCCAAACTAATTCCCGGTCATACAAATTAGAACAACTCGTATTTAGCGATCCGATTGCCATACGTATTGAGTTTCGTTGCAACACACAGACGCATTTCCTATATATATTTCCCTCTGCATGTTTGGTCTGGTTTCCATTTTATTCGGTAATGCTCCTGTTCGGTCGTTCGGACGGACCGGCCCCGCCCGAGTCGCCAACTTGCGGAACCGACCACACCCGCGTCGCCTCATTCCGCATCGCCCCCTCACTCTGCGGCGTCTGTGCGTTGCGCGCCCCTGCTCGCGGGACGGATCCTGCCCTCCCCCGCGCCGCCCCCGCCCGGCTTTGAGCTCCGCGTCGACAAGCCTCCATTTTCGTCCAGGCAGCAAGTAGATGTTGCGCTTGGAAGCGCGTGTTCAAGCGTCTGTTTTAAGTGCTTCAGATATTTTAGAGGTATGTTGCAGGTGTTTCATATGGATGTTGCAAAAGTAGATCGAAATATTGTATATGTTGCAATGAGTATACACGTATGTTCCCAATATTTCATTTGTTTTTTCAGACGTATGTTGCAAGTGTTGCATTTGAATGTTTCAAAAGTAGATCAGGTGTTGCATCTTCCTCCTCGCCTTTTGCTGCCTCGTCTCGGTGTCTCCTCCTCCTCGCCTTATGTTGTCTCGCCTCGGTGTCTCCTCCTCCCGGCACCGGCTGGGCATTCGCCTCCTCCTCTCTCTCTTCTTAATGTTGGTGACATACGAGGCAGCGCGGCCCCATGTGGACGTGCGAAACGGATGCGGCCCCCATGTGGCGTGCGAAACGGCGTAGAAAAAATGACCGCACGCCCGTGCTTCCGGACGCCCCATCCGTTCAGACACGCAGACGATTTTTTTCCTTCACCTCCTCCGTCTGCTGAATCCGCTTAGGAGTTAGCAGCCTGTTCGTTTGGCTATGGCTTGTCGTAAACGATCGTAAATTTTTAGCCGGAACAATATTTTTCTTTCACACAAACCAGCCAATAGTACTTTTTTCACGAACCAGCAACGAAACGAACCAGCCAACCGAACAGCCTGTAGGAGGTTGAGCGTAGACGTACGGTACCAGTCCTTTATTTTCTTTTGGCTCCCCGTCCTCACGTTTGAGTTCGTATATGGGGTTTCTTTTGAATTTTTCATAAATGTCAGAAATAAATAATAAATGTAATATTATGAACCTTTGAATCATTGAACAAAACATTTCACCGCTAAATTGTTAATGTAGTTATGATTAGGAACCAAATTGTTTTTGTTAAAACCTGGACCGTACGGATAGTCCAACTAATCAAACAGTTAGTATGAAAAATTGAAAAATAAAGGTATGGTATATTTATGAGTAAATATCTATGATTAGGAGAAAAATATATCAAGGTCGTTTTTTAATTCGATAATGGTTTAATAGGACATTATCAATATTATTAACAACATTAATTTATATAATAAATGTCATGATTATCATTACCATTGTTATTTTTTATCAACGTTTGATAGTTTTTTTTCTCCTTTTGCAACGTGCAGACGTATTTGCTAGTATATTAATAAGCTCTCATACTATCATAAATTTAATAGGACATAAAAAAACTACATAGGTCCATAATTTTCTAAAAAAATACCAAAAATTAAGATCAAATAAAAAAACAACAGATTGAAAAATGATCATGAATCCAAATTAGAAAATGAGATCTTATAATTTTTAATCATTATATAGACGTAGACATTCAAATATATGCACGAAACTCCAATTTTGTTTATCTTATGCTCAAGAAATCCTTCATTATGTTTTTCACGCACTGGACATGAGCACATGAACATCTCACCCAATATACTATACATCATATTTCAGAACTACTCCCTCCGTTTCAAATTATAAGTCGCTTTGACTTTTTTAGTATATCTATTTTGCTATGCATCTAGATACATAGAAAAATAAATGAACTAAAAAAATCAAAGTGACTTATAATTTGGAACATATGGAGTACCTCATTGGACTTGTTGAGAAAATTGATCATTACTTATGCAGCGGAGGTGATGCAAACTAAGCCTAGTGTAGCTAGTTGAGTTGGAACCTAATCCAAGTTTAAATTCTCGATTTGACGTGAATGATCTTACTTTCTTGGATATATTTTAATATTTAATACTATTTTTTTAATGATAGACGACATACCCTTCAACAACGAGACGTCTGTAGACTTCGCTAATCTCAACATGTGCTAGTCCTTGTTGGGGCACATTCAGAAGTCCTCGTAGAGTCGTATCTAAGGAAGCGAGGCAATAGGCAACCAGATGAGAAGTGAGGAGTTAGGCTTTGCCACCTCCCGCAGATAGACTTAGATCATAGTTCCTAAAAAGTCAGTTGGTAAATCAATAAGTTTTTTCAAGTGGCTAAAAAAATTAGGAGAATATTTGTTGGGTTTCTCCAACAATTTTTGAAATCTGGCTCATAATATATAGAAGTCAATTTTGCATCAGGAGTCCTAGACTTTTTTGAAATCACACCAACCATTTTTATAGTTCCTTTCTCTTTTATACATTTGCATTGGAAACCTTGTCCTTCTTGTTATTCCTTCCCACGTCCTTCAACCATTGGCGGACACATATGCTGCGTGCATATTTGTGTATGATTGGGTCGATTTTCCTAAATGCGGAAAGATTGAGAGTTGAGGTAGGGAGTTGTTGGAGAGTTTTTTTTTTCACTCTTACCAAAAAAAAATCAAGATTGAGAGTGGTTTTTGGAAATGCTCTTAGCAATACCAGTATAACCATGATTCGCCACCTCCACCCCAGGAGGCTCGTCAAAAGTTTATCTAAAATAACATATGAAGTATTGCAGACTGTTTACTGTGAAACCCAGCACTCCACTTAAAGATTCATAGAACCAAATCAACCAATGACGCACGGAAAAGATTTCAGCACGCGCAGAATCCCCAAACAAATAAAATGAAAAGAATCGATGCCGGCCTGTGACGCGCTATAAGTCTGAATTTAGGCCTCTAATTGGCTGTCATGTTGATGTGCAACTCAACAGAAGACAGACAGGGCTGCATCAACACCTGCCTCTGCCTTCCGTTCTTGGACCGTATCTGGACTACAAGTATGTCAAGTTATTTAGCATTTGTTTCATTAGATGACGCCCAGAAAGGCTAGTATATATCCTAACATTTATTTTCATCATTTTGTTTCGCATGTTAAGATGTACTGCTGACGTAAGATCTCGTAACTGCCTAATTGGGGCATTGGGTTAAGCACTTTCTCTGCGATCATTGGGTTAAGAAACAGATTTTTCTTTAAGCTGATCATCCGATTAACAGAACACGAACATTTCACTATTTCAGCCTCTCTAGTCTCAGACGGGAGATAGGTACACATCGCCAGAGTGAAGCACTTGGTGGCATCGATCATGGACTTAACTTGCAGTACAGACTGCAGAGGCAACCATCAGGATTAAACAGTTGGTGACGTAGTAATGATGTAGTATATATCCATTATACTATAATAATAACCTTAAAAAGCGCTTGAGTAATTTTTATTTTTCCAAGTGAAATTGAGTTCTAACGCTGTAACTGAAGGCATGATGACACCAGCCGGCAACCGTCGATGCCATGTCTGATGTCTCGTACTCCTACCGTCTACCAACTGAACCATGGCAGCATCCTCCGGCTGGCTACAGAGTGCCGAGGCAGCGCCAGTGATCCTCCGTGAAGGCCGCGTCGCGGTGGCGGAGCGCGGCCTCAGTAGACACGAGCTGCACGACAGCCGGGGACAGTGGCGCCACGCACAAGCCTCGCCTGCGCAGATCCATCGCACTGCCATCTTCCTCGCCCGTGTCCTGCCAACCACAGAAGCGATTCAAAGCTTTCAGTTTCAGCGCAGATCTTTCGTGTAAAGCACATTGAGAATTTAGACAAAAAGTCGCTTTATATGCTATATGATCCCGTAATCGGGTACCTGCTGTGACGCTGAAGAACTAAATTCAGGGTAGGAGGCGGTCAGAATCTGCAGAAAAAATGATAGCGAAACGGTGACGGAAAAAAACCGTGAGTTGCTGCAAATTTGTTACTGCTCGTGTACAAGCGTCGTGTGACCATTCAGTAAGAAGCTGATGCAATGCAACATCTGGCTCACCTGGATCTGCTCGTGGAGATGCTTGATGCAGGTAGCTGCCTCGTGGAGCACTGATGCCGTATCGGTCTGCACACGTGGGTAGATCTTATTCAGGTTTCGGAGACACAAACGCTCTTCAGGCACGGAAAAAAAATCGCTTGATGCACGTAACAAGCCGAAATACTGTTCCGGCTGATTTGTTGTGAGAGAAAAACACTGTTTCGGCTAAAAAAACAAGCTGAAAAGTACGGATTATAAGACAAGTGAACATGACCTATGCATGCAGATCACAAATAGGAATACACACACAGCATCGGCAGCAAAGGTCGACGAACTGCTGGAGCTTTACCTTGCCATACGGGGAGACGAGCTGCTGAAGCGCCGTGATTTTGTCCCCTAGCTTCTGGCTCCTCTTACATGGTGCCTGCACAAAGTATATAATAACAAAAAAAAAAGGAAAAAAACATTCAGAATACAGAACGTGGAAGTGATGTTGATGTCTGGGATCAGGCTGGCATCGAAGCCAGCCTACTGTGCATACAAATGGGGTTTGCATGCGAACAAAACAACCTCGGTTACCTTCATCATAGACTGATTTCTTGTTGGTTTCGGATTGCACCGTTGGCCGTGCTGTGGACCTTGTGCTGTCGCTGGCGTCGTTGTCTTGAGCCTCTTTGATCCCCTGAGACGGCTGCCGTCACCGGTCACCGTCTCCCCCGCTGCCGTCCATTTCATCGAGCAGTGCTGACAGAAACAGGCATGTCCAAGACGCAAGCTTAATACTAGAACCATTAGCATGATACTAGAAGGTTTCAACTTGAACAATGTGAAGAGAATTACAGCAGCAGCGGCAGTTGGCTGGGTGAAGCTGAGCTGCGAAAACGCGGGCCGGGCCTCGCTGCTGTAGATCGGATTCGCGCCTATTCCTAGTTCATTCATTCATGCACGATCAGTGAGATTAAACAAACGAAAAAAACGAATTTCTTTCTCCATACAGACGACGTCGTTGAACATATCAACACGCACAGAAAAAAAGAGAGGAATGTACCTAGGCAGTTCTCTGAACCGTGCATAGCAAAAAGCGTTTGCGCCTGAAGGCCGTGGAGTGGCGGCGACAAGTTCAGAGAGTCGAACCGGCCATACTCCGCTGCTAGTCTGCTCAGTGCAAAAGCAAATTCAGTTACTTGAGAATGTCCAGGAAGAACACCAACTCCCGAGCGAAGCCAGTGCAGCGACATGGAAGATAGAACTCACATCCTGTCCAGGCCCACGGATCCTGCTGATGAACTAGAGCTCTCGCACCTGGCTGCACGCATCGAAGAAAAACCACGATGACTACATTCCAGAGGGAAACGTGACGACGATGATTGTAGATTTGTAGTACACGGTAGAACGTACCGTAGTCGTCGCCGTACTGCAGTAGGAGCGAGTGCGGCGCAGAGTAGTTCCACATTGTGCACCGATGAAACCCTGATCGGCAGCCGCCAACGAGGTCCTCACCAGTCACCACCTAGAAACCAAGCGCCACGCTGTGGTCAGTCAGAGGAAAGGAATCCAAGTTCAGTGAGCACGGTGGAAACAAAGCTTTTATTTTGCTGGTGATCCGGCTCCTAGATCGATCCCAGAGACATGGAAAACCCAGCAGCGAAACAGAGTGAAGAACAATTCAAGGAAGAGACGAAGTAGCTAACACCTCCCCAGCTTCTAGGGGCCGAGGCAGAAAACCACAAGATGACTCAGAAACCACATGCCCCACCCTCAAAAGAGGCACGAGAGAAGATGATCTACAAGATCATGCCAGCAGCACGAAGAAACCAAAGACATAGCCAAGCAGAAGTTCCATCTCTCGTGATACTGAATTCACACTAGGTAGCATCGGTCCGAGATACACTACACATTTGGCCAGCAAGAGAAGGCGGCGAAAGGGTGGAGTAGTACAGGGCGCACTTGCTACTTACATGCACTGGTAGGCAGACGAGCGGAGAGGAACGGAGAAGCGAGCACGGAGCGCCGGTTAAATATACAAGGGCTATAGCTAGTACGACGTGCGCGCCGCCGTGATGATGAGCAGCGATCAATGCGTGGTCTGCTTGGGCTTCGTCTCCTCGTCTGCTGCCGTTTCCACTCGGACGCCGCTGCCAATATTACTAGTAGATGGGCAGAGAAGAGAAGCACGCGGGGGCAACGGAAAAGGGAGGAGCCCACAGCTCAGTGGAATCCTTACCGGATCGATCGATAGATAGGCAGGGGATTCATTAGCCCCATAAATAGCCATGCCCCTGTTCTTCTCCAATAAATAAACAGAAACTCTAGCACTGATCCTGCCGTTTCAGGCTTTTGTTTTCTCCCTGTCCAGCTCCGAAAACCCCTTTGACTTCTTACACGCTGATGATGATTAGATGACAGGCTCATCACTAATCCCGCGTGCTAATTACGAATGTAATGTAATTCCTTATTATCTACTACCGGTATCCTATTCGACAGCCGACTGCCGGGCACCTCGTTGTCAGGGTGGGCGTTAGATTGTGGCCTAGGCTCTTGTCTGGCTCTGTCCCTCGCTCCCGTGCTGACGAGTGTCACGGCGTAGGGTTTGGACCCCGGTTGATCAGTGTTGGAGCTCGGACAAGAGATTCCTGTCCTCTCGCCGGAGATCAGATCAGATCAAGCAGCCCGGTTAGGAGCTAGGCCGGCCAATTGTTTAAGGGACGCGTCGCATCAATGCTGCTCCTGCTCGATCGATCCACCCTCCGTCCGGCCGTGCTTTGTTTCCTCAAACGTCACAACTCTAGTCTATGGGAAATAGTAATCGCTTTGTTTTCCTCAGACGTCACAACTATAGGGAAAAATAGTAGAGTAAACTTGCTTTGTAAGTACATGTCAGGAGACGCCATGGATCACAACAGATTGGAGAGGGTTAGTGCTCTCTCTCTCTACTTGGCGTGGGCGCGTGGCAGAGTTCTCCATATCCAGAGTCAAACTTGATGAATTTGGCTTGCCTTTACGGCCAAGGAAGCCCTTGAGCCAAACCATATTTGTTGTTCTTAATAAAATCACCCAGGGATGCGTGTTAGGCTAGCGAAAAACTGTGTTGTCTTACCTACTAATAAGAGTACTTACTTTTGACAAAATGAGCACTTTCTGCAGATTCTGTGCGGACTCGAACCGCCGCGTATTATCCAAAACCGAGAAGATTGTCAGATGAGGAATTTCCTATCCCTCCAGTAGTCTCCGAATTCAGCAAAGCAACCTCAGATCATCAGATGCCCTTTCTCGTCCAGATTTCCGATTCAGAGTTTCCAGGATAAAAAATGGCGTGTAGGAAGGCATCACGCTGCTCTGAAGCCTGAATGAAGTCGAAGCAAACACCAGCCGCAAGATTCTTCACGACATATTCATATGTATAAGCTCACGAAAACAGGGACAGCTTGCAAAGGATCAGAGGAAAAGATAAAAGGTGCCTGGCATTTCGATACAGGACCCGAATACGCTAAACATACACTATTGGACTGGACTGTAGAGAGCTCAGACCTTCTCCAAGACGGCAAAGGATATTTGTTTCATATGACCATCACGTTCTGGTTTATTCGATGCTTCCTGCGGCCAGCATTGCACAGCAAACCTTTGTCACGGCCGCGCCTACCGTCTCTGCCAATCTATAATATAATACTAGTCGCACCTGCCGCCGACGAGTCTCACAAGCAAGTCAGAACCTGTCGCTCCTGGCAGCTGCAGCAGCCAGCAGCAGCCTTATATTTACCTGCACACCAGGAAGCAGGAAGCAACTGTTTCATCTCACAGTCATGGCAGTAGCAGCCAGCAGCACGAGATCAAAGAATTGCAAGGACAACTCTGACCCGGCGTGATGATCATCAGTCATCACAAGGGCCGATTCATTACAGGACAGAGGAGTGCTGTTTCAGCCTCAATAGTTTTTCTTCGAACCAGTGACCGGATAGGAGCTACATGACACACGATGCATGACCCACATTGACCGCAACTACTATTGTATCAACTCTTCCAGGCTTAAACTAGGGACTAAGTCTAGTTTATGCAGGTAAGGTGTGAGCAGAAAAGGGCAAATGAAGTCGATGACATGATTCGAATCATGGATCTCTTGCCCAGAAAGCTTACATTTGGATGCTATCAGTCCACTACTAGAACCAATAATCATCTATGTGGCAGGTAAACCCATACTCAATTGAACAGGAGCACACTTGGCCATAATTTGATGAAACAGGTATTTCATTTTTTTTTCTCGGCTTATGGAAGCAGACTAACAACATCTATAATCTGTATATATCATAATTCACCTGTTTACTAGGTGGCAAGAAAAATCAAATACTAGCTGGTAAATATGACAGCTTAAAGAGATGCAGACTAGAAGGCAACCATGCTCAATGGCAATGCTAACCGTGCAAACTTCTTCAATTAACCTCACATTGAAAGTTGAATTACACAACTGAACACACATATTATATTAATACCAAGGTCACTATGGACGATACTCGTTGTATGCTTCTATTCAAATTGTACAGGTTGCATCTACTTAAAGGAAATCAGCCTAATCTCTTTCAAAAACAACCATAAATCAACAGATCTAGGCCAAGATGAAGTAGACAGGCTAGAAACCACAAGTTAAACAATAATATGGTAAGCAACCACATATCCCGGAAGATATAAGATATCAAACTCAATCTACAAAGAAGGATTCTGTAGCCTTACGCAAGGGGAATGTTCAAATGATTGACCAGTTCAAATGTCTTACTCAAGGGTAGTCTACAGGCCATGACCAATAATCATAATTACCAGAAATGCCAGAACCTTAGTAATCAGCATGGATTTATGAGTTTCAATAAATTGGTGGTCGAAAATTATAGTTTGGTACAGTCCTTTGCAGGAGAGTAACATCTACAGCATATCATGTTAGATACTAATACCTAGTAAGAGTAAGAATGCTACTCTAAAAGATTTTGAACATTAGCAGCAGTAAATAGTAATAACACCTTTAGTCCATTGGTAAATGTATAAAGACCTCTGAGAACATATATACTTGTTTACAAATAACCCTTTAACATCCCTGGTGAAACAGCTCTAAAGTTGATTCAATGTATTAAATAATCATCAGTATCATGTGTTCCTTCTGGCAACAAATTTTCGAAAGCGTAACAGAAAATCTATGGAGGCACAAGAATAGGGCTTTGTTACCAATCTTGCCACAGCAAAATGATTAATTGATACACAAGTCTGGAACCCTGGAAGGCCTGTACAATCATTCAGAGTAACAACACAACAGTGTTGTGGCCTTGGCTCCTGAGTCATGACTCATGAGCCTGAAAGTCCTAGGGGCTTAATGATCCATCAACAATGACAACTCAATTAGACTAATCATAATCTTCGAAAGAACAAAATATCGGTTATTGAATGCAGACAATCAATGGTTTCAGGTATACAGAGCATAGATTTATCCAATTACACTCTTTATCCTATAGTGCTTTCAACGGAAACCACATGTGCAGTTACATGCGGTTGGATAATTCAAAGGCTGAATAGTAGCAGCAATAGTTGTTGGGATATATTGCACATTTCAATGGAATGTGTTCAACGTAGGCTAAAACAATGTTTTATTAATTGTGATGTTTTATTTACCTTTATTTATGACATTTCTTCCACAAATCAGATATACCTCCAAGAAAAATAATTTTAATTAAACATATAACAAACCACAGATACAATTGGCAGTGATACTGAATCGTTCAAAACACATAAAGCCACCCATGGCAGCAAGTTGCAATGTGTAGACAAGAGGATACAGAGCACTGGAAAAATTCAGCAAGTACCTATCGTATCAATGCCTGGTCTCTCAACTTTGTATCCCAAGAGGCAAAAATATGTTCACATGAGCAGCAAGAAATAAGAGGCACATTTAATTGAACAAACAGCATATTGTAGTGTATAAGAGTCATGAGCCTGAAAGTTGTAAAGGCTTATTAATGATCCATCAACAATGACAACTCAACAAAAGTAATTCTAATCTTTGAAAGAACAAAATAGCAACTAGCAACTGAATGCAGCCAATCGATAGTTTCAGGTCCACAGAGCATACAGCTATTCAATTAGGGCTTGTTTGGATGCACTCGAATTCACCTCAATCCACGTGTGTGGGAATGGATTGTGGTGGAAATTAAACAAAGTTCCACCCCAATCCACTCCAATACACATGGATTGAGGTGAATACAAGTGTATCCAAACAAGGCCTTTACCATATTCACCCTATTCTGCTTTCTATGGAAATCACCTGTGTGGTTATCCAAGTTGAATAGTAGTAGGAAGAGTTTTTGCGGGATATTTCTCACATGCCAATGGAATGTGTTCAAGGTTGGCGGACAATAATGTTTCTCACAAATCAGATATACTTCCAAGCAAAATCACCTTAAACATATCAGTAACCATGCTTCTGTTATCACATCACATATCAGTCATCCATAGCACATTGCAATGTGTAAACAAGAGGGTTCAGAGCACTGAAGCAAAAACATGATCACATGAGCAACAAGAGAAAAGAGGTACATTTAACTCAACAAACAACATATATGTAGAGTATTGAATAAAAATTCCATTTAAGAACCCAAGAGTTAAAGTGTATGTGTGATAACAGAAGCAAAGTATAGATGTGATTGATTTCTCATCAGAATACAAGAGACAGCTTAAACAGCCATCAGCAAGAAAAGGACAACAAAATCTTTATTTGCTTTTGTCACACGGATTGATGCACTGCTTCTTCCACCAAGCTCACTGCAAGCTCTAGAAAGTCATTACCTAGCAGACGTGGGAGGGGCATTGACGACATTCCTGCGCACTACCCTGGGCCCTCCATTGCTGCGGTTTTCTTTGGAGAGATTGCCATTGCCACCGTCGTCAGTGTCCAAGACCAAATCCCGAAGCCCCATGTTCAAGTCCTTCTCTCTCATCTCCTTCTCCTTCTTCTTGGCCCTGGCTGTGGCAGCAGCGAGCGGCTCGAAGTGGTTGCCATAAATGTACTCTGCGGAGTATCCGTCCTCGTCGTCGAACAGCATGACGTGGCCATGCCATTCCCAGATGCGATACTCCCCGCTGGCGTCGTCATGGAACCCGACGCAGAGGTGGTGGTCGCCGACGGCCACGGACTGACCCGAATTGGGCTTAAGCTTGTCCTCGGCCTCCCCGGCCAGCACCATCCGCACGATCTCCTTCTCCAGCTTCGCCTCCTCCCTCGCCAGCATCCGCCTCCGCCTCGCCTCCCCGGAGCCCTCCCCGCCAGCGAGCCCGCCGTCCTCATCCTCCTCGTCTTCGTCATCATCCGACGCCCCTGCGGCGGCGGATAGCGCGGCGAACTCGTTGAGGAGGAAGTCGTCAAGGTCCTGGGTGAGGAATGAGTTGGTGTCGAGGAAGGGCGGGCGGAGCTGGACGCGGCTCATGAGGTTCTGGAGGAAGAGCGCGTCCACCGGCGAAGCGGAGGTGGCGTGACCATTGCCCGCCGCAGCTGCGGTTGCTGCGGAGGTGGGGTGCGGCGCAGGAGACGGCGGCGGCGAGGCCATGGGCGCCGTGGTAGGGTTTTGGGTTTGGGGGTTGCGTTGGCTGGCTGCGGAATGACCACGCCAACTCGGGGTGGACGGCGACGATGGCAGAAGTGATGAGATATTTTTCCTTTGGAGTGCAGTGCTTGAACATGGGCCTCTTGCGTGGGCTGGGCTTGAGATGCTTTTGGTAAGCATAGTAGTGGCCCATTTTAAAGTAAAAGAATGACCGGAACTGACAAAGTGACACCACACCAGAAGCTGTAGGATTTTCTTTCTTTTTAATAAAAAATTCTTCTCAAATAAAGTGTGTTTTATAAAAAAATATTTTTATTTTCTAATGGAATTCTTCACACCAGAACATGTACTGTATGAAGTTGTACTGGAATTAGTAAATAGAGTAGATAGAGCCTATTTAATCACCTATGAATTATTGTAATCTATACAGTGAATGAGATTATAAGAATATGAATCTATGGAACAATAATAACTTGGGTTTTATAATTTGGGTTGTTTAGGTGCCTAGATTATATACGCCAGATTCATTGTTGTTGGTTGAACAAGTTCGAGGGAGATCATGTGATTTATTAACCTGTTTATTGGACTACTATATTCTCTGGTATAATTTGAAATGTTTGGATCACCTATGAATGTTTTATTAGATTTCTATGATACTTAGATAATCCTGAAAGGATTTTGATGCCGTATAAAGGGGTGAATAGGTGAAACCTAGATGCTAAAACAATTTTGCATGCCCAGCTAAGCCAGATTTCATGGGTTTTAGCAGAGCAAAACCAATTAAAAATGCAATCAGCCCTATTGAGTTCTATCTCAAACCAAACTTTGTAGAGGTGTTCTTGAGGTGCCCAACAACTTGTTCACACAATGCATGTACTCACAAACAAGCACACGAAGTAGAACAAAAGCAGAAGCAATAAGCACAAGTATAAGACAAATGTAAATGCGATGCAAAGCGGGGAGGAGTCACGATGGTTTGTTTCCTGAATTTCAGGTTGGTTGAGCGGCATGAGTTTGGATGGAGGGGTGAGGGGGTGGGGGTCTGAGCAGGACATCGCGTCTTCTTCGTGAATGATCTTTGTATAAACTTATGAAGCCCCCCTCAGGAAGCAGCCAACTTCCTTTGTTTCTCCTGAATAAGCATAGGGACGGGCCATAAACAGTATGGCGCTAGCCATCTTTTTTTTGGTTTGTGTGGTTGGGGACAACTGGATGGATTGAGGAGAATCCAGCGAGGACCGATATATACACAGCAAGGTATAGGTGGTAGGTGAATCTGACGACTTAGATTAACTTACATCGAGAGACAAGGCGAAACATCGGTATAAGGCGTTCAAACACTCTCTATGACAATCCGAGGCCTTTTATTCTTGAGTTATTCATGTTCTCTCTTACGAGCAAGGAGGAAGCATGTTCGGACATGCAAAATCCAATCGGATGACTAGGAGAGACAGCAGGAAGCGCTCAACTCGGGTCAAAACAACGTTGGGATTGCTGCAAGCTTGACCATGAAGAACTCGAGGGCTACCAACCAATACACGTACCCCGAGTGTCGGTGAAGAAAGTGTCAACACGTAAATATTTATAGTTTTGCCGTACGTTGTGATCGGAGGTGGCCTAGCACTCAATGACACAGGGTTTATACTAGTTCGGACAAGGTGCCCTATGTCCAGTTTGAGTCGGTCGGTGACTTTATTCCTGAGCCCAGGTGCTCGAAGTTTGCAGTGGGGTTACAAACGAGAAGGAGAAAGATAGGGGTACAAGAGGTCTAGTCGGACTCCGGTCGGAAGGGCCAAGAGCGACGGGAGCTTCGCTATGAGCTAAGTGTTCGAGCGTGTGCTCGTGGTTTGAACCTGGTGGTTCTGCTGTTGTGTACTAGAGAACTTGATTGATCTAAATGAATCTGAATCCTCCCCTTGTTGGAAGAGAGTGCATCCCCTTTTATAGATGAAGGGGATGGCCTTACAAGTGAGAGAGAAGAAGTACGTTTGCTGCTAAGTCTTGCTTCCCACGCCGACGGGTACGATATGATGGTAGGCGGCCACAACACTGTTGGATGTCAGATGCACATGGAAGGTTGTGTTGTCTTCTTCGGGTATGGAAGACATCGGCGCCTGCCACACTGTTGATACCTGGAGGCACGCAAGGGGTTTTACCATGTTCGCCTGGTACGGTAAATGCCGACGCCCGCAACACTGTCGATGCCCAGAGGCATGTGGGGGGAGCCTTACCGTATGGGAGTTAATGGCGCCCACAATACTATAGGGGAAAATGTCAGCGCCTACAATGCTGCTTGGGTTCTGTCGTGCCAGGGAGGTCGTAGGGTACTGCCTGGCAGGTGCGTAGGGTACGGTCTCTGGTATTGCAGTTTGACTTGTTGCCCTACCTTACTTTCTCCGTCTGTTCCCTGGTCCTTACCGAGCTGGCGTCTCCGGTCGGTTAGTCCCAGTCGGCTCTGAATGCGCCAGTTGGAGAAGATCAGTGAGCAGGGGTTTGGTGCATCCCCAGTCGGAGACACGGGTCGGAGTCGGAAGTAATGCTTTGGCCAGGCCTTCCGATCGGAGAGGCCGTTCGGAGGTGGGCTAGAGACCGACGTGAGCGCTCCGGTCGGAGAGGTGGGCCGGAGTCGAAAACGAGCGTCGTTCCTCCTCGGCCAGCCCTTCCAGTCGATGATTGGACCGCCCTTTTGGCCTGTCGCTTAGGTACTTGGGCCAGCCCACGAGTTGCGCGTTGTTTGCAACGTTGCTTGCTGGGCCAAGCCTCTGTTGGGAAGCCGGTCCGTGAGGGACCCCGGGTTTATGAACCCGACACCGAGTATTGTTGCTAAGGCCATAATCTAACCCTAGAGAAGGGTGGGCCGGGCCAATTGAACTAAGAAAGTTTTGATCTGGGGTGCCTCATCTACTAAGCGCATAGGACTTGATGGATATAGGCATGTAAGTAGATTAATTCAGAGATGATGGTAAATGAATAGGAAACATAATCAATGATTTTCAGGGGTGACCCATATGTAACCTACCCCTGTGCTATATAAGGCTTGGTGGGAAGCCCCCTTGATGACCATTCCCTACTCGACACTGAACCCTAGCATTCGACGCACAATCAATACAACATCAACATATGCTGTACGTAGGGCACCCTACCTGAAGTAGTCTAAACTTCTATGTCCCAAGTAAGCGTTACTCCTACCATCTACCATGTGCATGATGCGTTGAATTTATTGATGGTGGCAAAAAAAACACCGACACAATAGATAAGCCATAAGAAGTCTAGATCAACTAGTTGGGGTAGAATGTGTGTTCTTATATCCAACCACTCAAGTTAGTGTCTATTTAACTTGAACTTAGGTTCATATTTTCTTCTTAATAATGAAAAGCTTCCCAATCCTCCTAGGTTGAATCTCTCTTTAAAAGACATTAGACATTCAAATCCTCCTAGATTATTGATTCTATCTTTTTTTAACAGAAAACATTGGATGTGACACTAAATTCATATTGAGTGATGAAACATAGCATCTATGTCGTTCCCCATGTCGTCTCCCACATCGCGACAAGGCCACGACCTCGACCCACCCCCATGGTCGCACCCTCCCTGGCTGACCTCACGACCCCATCCTAAGGTTGGGTCCGTGCGTCAGGAGGCAGGAGGAGTACGCCCACCACTAGTCAGCGAGAGAAGGGCGAGTTCGACCGCTAAGGCTAGGTCTACGCTAGGCCACTCCACGGTTGAGGAGGACGAGGTAGTCATCAAGTTTTTTGGCTAGTTATGGGCAATCGACTCTCCACCGACGCTAGACAAGCCTAGGGTTCTGCCCACCGCCAAATCCACTGCAAACTTTGGCCAACTATTCTAGATTCTGAAGGATCTCATCAAGCGGAAGAATTTTACACCACCCGACTGCTTTTTGATGCTTCGATCAGATAGAAACAAGGAGAGTCAGCTTCAGGGAGATTTGGAGCAAAGGGGAAACAAGGAGGACCCTATGTAGAGGTGCTTAAGCGATCTATGGAGGAGGAAGGGCGATGGGTGTGGCAACCGAAGCCATGGCGACCACCTCCACCAAGGCCTCAGAGACCCAACCAGCAGAATCCACCGAGGTATCCTCCTCCGCAATTTAACAGCACCATGGATGGCAGGATCCGAGTCAGCGAGGTCAGGGTGCTATTCGCCCCCAACCTTAGTAACCTCGGCAGCAGCCCCCACCTTGGCAACAACCACATCAACAACCACCGCCCAGGCAGCAACCTCCACCTTGGAGAGGAGTTTAGCAGGGGAGCAGTCAAGGTATAGATAATGTTAAGCCCCCACAGTTTGTCATCGATCCTCGTTATAGGAAGCTTACATGCTACAACTATGGAGAGCTGAGTCATTTTGTGGGTGAAAGGTCCTAATGGCTAGAGGGGGGGTGAATAGCCTATTAAAAAATTCTACAACACTAAGGCAATTGATTAGTAAATAAGATGGCGAAACGAATTTTGCGCTAGCACTATACTTGTGTTGCAAGCCACCTACCCAATTCTAAAATCTATGATCTCTAGTATATCATAACAAGGCTAAGTCACTAATTTACACCTAGGTGAGCAAGCTAGCAAGAGAACTACAACTAAGAGCTACACTAACTAGTTTCAACAACCACAAGCTCTACACAAGTAAAGGCACAATGTAATACAAGAGAGTAGTAGAGAGTTATACCGCCGTGGCAAGTGATCAATCAATGAATACCAATGAATACCAAGGAGACAATCAAGACAATGATTTTTCCTTCGAGGTTCACTTGCTTGCCAGCAAGCTAGTCCCCATTGTGGTGATTCACTCACTTGGAGGTTCACACGCTAATTGGCATCACATGTCAAACCCACAACCGGGTGCCACACAACCAACACAAGATGAGGATCCACAAGCCACGCGCAATCCACTAGAGTTGCCTTTGGCACTCCACCGGGGAAGGCACAAAAACCCCTCACAATCATAATGATCAGAGCCGAAGATAATCACATTCCTCC